GGGGGGGGGGAGGGGGGGGTCAGTGGGCAAGTGGTGACTGCTCGCAGAAGCTGGTGGTGGCTTTGGTGGTGGCCAGTCTCAGGGAGGGCATGTGCCCCCCACCCCGTGCCGCCTCCATGCATCGCCTATGGTCACAGATTTCCTGTATGACTCCTGGTCAGACAACAGGTCTCTCTGCCTCAGTTTCACTATTTATAAAATGAAGATAATACCCTTTCCATCTCTTCTAGGAGTGTTGGTACTATGGATGTATCAGTGATTTTTAAGGGATTCTCATACTGTGGTAAGAGATGTCATATAAGTCAGTCTTTTAAATAGAAAAATACTTTTAATCTTTATCTGTATTTCCCCTCTCCATCTATTATGCATTTCCCCTTAGCATAGCCTTCCACAATTCCCAAAGAAAAAAAAAGCTGTCAGTTTACAGGCCCTGCATAACTCTTACCAGCATGTTTTGTTATGGGAGGTTGATTGCTAGGCCATGGGAGGTTGATTGCTAGGCCTCCTTTTGCTTGGATTCTTGTATTGGTACAATCTTGCCATATACCTGTGACCACAGCTAAAAGCCAATTTCCTGATCTTGTCCAAAAAATAGACTGCTGCAATTTGGTAATGCTTTGAAAAGGAGAGAGAATTTTTACTTCTCAGGAGGCACAATGGCACAAGTTTCCATGATTCTGCTGCTTGCTAATATTTTTTAAACACCGTACGTAGTAAAAATTGATGTGAAAGGCAAGAATTTTTGTGGGTGGCAACTTTTATTGAACCAGTTGCATAGCTGGGAGGGATTTAAACAAACTTTTAGACACAAAGTATCCTTCCTCACGCTCTCCCAGTTATGTGACTGGTCCAATAATAGATATCACCTACAAAAATCCTTGCCTCTTGCACATTTCCTGGACTGTCAGAGCTATGACATCCCTCCAGCACTACCACAATGTAAAATCTAATGCTATTTAAGAACACTCAGTGATAGAAATCAAAATTATTTAATAATCTTTTGTGTCCAGTAGATGTCACTGTTCACCCACAGCCATTCTTGATGTGGTTCCCTTGTCTATGCTGATGCAGATTTGTTGTTTTATAGTGATGTATCATAGCATCATTTAATTAAATATTAAACTATTTTATTTAAAAGGCATCTTCATGAAGTTCATGGAGTTCTTCAGAATATTACCAGAGCAACAGCGTTGGGGTGATGGTGTAGCCATAATAGCCCAGGAAATATGTGAGAGGCAAGAATGTTTGTAGGTCATATCTCTTACTGGACCAACTGCATGGTTGGGATAGATTTAGGTTGCGTACACACATTCAAATAAAGTAGGAGAATTCTCCCAGGTTTGTTGTTCTGGTAGAGAAATTTACCCAGAGTCATGTATACAGACATTTGAATACTAAGGCCCTGAAGAGTGGAGAGCTTGCAGTGCTGACACTGTGCAGTCAGGAGGGGCCCTGTGCACACAATGCATGCTCTCCAAGTTCCCTTAGTCTGCCTGGCAACAGATGACAGGAAGGCATAGGGCAGCCCTGATTGGCTGACCTATACTGCCCATGGTCAGCCTGCGGCACAGTGTGGGGATTGTGAAGGAGGCATGTTTTACTCCCTGCTGGAGCAGCGGAGTCCAGCAAGCAACACACTGTCTCCTTGGGGAGACCAGGGGGAGGTGGGAGAGGAGATGCTAGAGATCTGTGTTCTCTTCTGAGAGAAGCCCAAGCATGTTCACACATTTGCCCTTCCAAGAGAAACTCTCCTAGAAGTGATCTAACCCTGGTCATTCCCAGGTTATTTTTCTCCTGGAGCAGCCATTTTTACTCTGGGAGAAACAGCCTGAACATTTATACACTCGTCGTTTCTTCTGGGAGGGCAGCAACTCCCCCAGAAGAAACTGAATATCTGCATGAGGCCACAGGCTTTCACTGTGACAGGATTTAATTTGATTCATGGTAGTGTGTGCTTATCATTTAGCACTTGATATTTAAAATGTTATTTAGCACAGGCCATTGGTCAGCAGTAACATGGCTGACTTAAATGAAAACTGGGAAACCCTTGTATAGTATGTGTCTAGTTCTGTGTGATGAGGTGTCAGTACATATGTCACAGTTTTAAAGGGTTTTATATGGATGTTTTCACTAAATGTTGTAATTTCCTTTCTTCATAAACATTAATTGTGAAAGATTACCACAGAGTCTCAGCTTAGCCACAGTGGCTCTGGGTCCTGTGCCTATGTTTCAGCAGGTTGCCAAATTCAGAGTGCATTGGGATTTATAGATTATTAGGTTCTTTGCTTTGCTTTGTGTATCTCTCACCCCAGCATTTTCCTGACATTGCAGACACTGTTGAATATTGTTGAACTGTGACTCCTGTCACTGTAGGAGATGGGAAGGCTCTTATATACTCTGCTGCATTTTGTCTGTTTGTCCAAGTTTTAAAACGTGCAGCGCTTTTCATTAACGTGTC